TAAGCCCAGCCCGGGGCCCTGAGAAGCAGTCTCAGTCTTGTTATAGTTCCTTGTGCCCTCTCCATTTCTGTCCTCCACTTCTCCTGCCTTCTCTCTTCAGAGAAGCCAGTGTCCCCTCTGTCTGTCCCAGACTCAAGGATCTGTGATTAGCAGAACAAATGCTAATTCATTTATCCTCACAGAAGTAACTCATCCAATCCTCATAGAAGCAGAACCCGAGGGTCATAGAGGTGGGGTAAGTGGAGGAGGCAGAACCCAGTATCAGGAAGTGGGGGAGGCAGAACCTCAGCTCCAGTCATTTGCCATAGTAGCTGATCTGCCTTTACTTGATGGGTACTGAAGGTCCTAACTCCTATCCAGGGAGAGTAGACCCTTGGCCACGGACATCTCTGTATTCCTCAGCCACTGCCTTGCCCCCACTCTGGGAGCCTGGCTGGTGCCTCTTCCTTGCACTGTAACTAGAATGAGTGAGGGGAACTATGAAGGGCCTGAGGGGCAGCACATCTACATATGTCCCAAGGAAACTCAGTGGCCCTTTAGTGGCACCAATGACACCTTTTGCGTCAGAGGTGAAAGCCTCCTGCTACATAAGGACAATGGTCAACAAAAGAACCTGGGAGAAGCCAAGTTGCTGAGTGAGTCTCAAGTCCCACGGGCTCTGCCCTGGGCTGGCTGGGGGTGGGCACAGGCTGAGTTCCAGGCTGGCTCTAAGGGATGACAAGTTGATGTGAAGATGGTCCGCTGCCAAGCAGAAGTGAAGGAGTTCAAGTAAGTGAAGTAAATGTTTTTGAGTCAGCAGCCAAGGCCACCGAGGAGAGGTATTCCAGAAGGGGCTGGTCCCTTCCACCTTGGCCTCTGACTCTACCCGGGACCTCTGAAAACCAAAAGGTACTCCTTCAACAAGGGGTGATCTGGGTAACCTTTTGCTAGACCTAAGAAGCAGATATGTGTATCCCAAGTGCAGCTGATCCCACAGAGGGGCCTGAGGATCTGTTCTCTACATCAGTGTTCATCAGCCAAGGTGGCGACTTCCCACTGGGTGAAAGAAATGATACCAAAGGGAAACATATAGAAGGCGGGAATGAAGACCCAATTGGTATCTCTCTGATGTCACAGAGAAAGAGCAGGAGGAACTGCCCCTTGGAATAACACATCAGGCTGGATTTCCTCACACAGAGCAGGAAGTACGCCCTCCAGAGGGGATGCAGTGGGCCAGGAAGGGTTCTTGGTGATGCCGTGCTAGGAAGTGGAGTGCTGGCCTTGCTTAAATGGCAGCGAGCTGGGTGTGGTGGTGCCTGTAATCCCAGCTACTCAGGAGACTAAGGCAGGAGGACCACAAGTTTGAGGCTGGGGTGAGCAAATTAATGGCTTAATGAGACTTAATGAGATCTTACCTCAAAATAAAGATAAAAAGGGATTAAGGTTTGAGTCCATGGGAAAGCATTTTCCCAGCATGCATGAAGCCTTGGGTTCATTGAGGAACTCCCAGAAATGGCAAAACTCCCAAAGAAGTTAGAAGACAAAAGACAAAAAAACTGGAAAAGGGTGATGAGCCATTAGACAGAGTGGAAACTACATGAACAAGTATTTTTTAACTTATTTGTTCACCAAAATATTCCCCACTGGTGGAGCAGTTGCTTATCCTTTGTGAAGTTCTAAGTTTGTGCCTTCACTCTCTCTCTCTCTCCCTTCTTCTCTCTCTCTCTCCCTCCCTCACTTCATCCCCTCCATCCATCCTTCTCCATTCTACTTTCTAGTGTAGGGGTGGAAATGGGAAGCTGCAACAGTCAAGGTCTTTGCTGTCCTGAGGCTGATGATCTATCAAGGGATACACATTAATGAAATAATCAAAAGCAGAAATGTGTCAGCATGAATGGAGCTAAATCCCATGAAGCAAAGCAATGCAATGAAAGGAACACCAGCATTTAACAAAAAGACATGGTCAGGGGACTCAGAAGAAGATTTCATGAGGCAAGGCCACTGAGGTGAAGTCTGAAGGCTGGGGGGAGCTGAATTGAGAAAGCAGGTGAAGGTCCCAGGAACAGAGGCAGCTGCTGCTGCTGTGTTGACCTTGTGGAGGAGCAATTGTGGGTGATGGGTTGGGTCCAAAGACGGCAGCAATTATTCTTCCTATGGTCCTTTACAAAGGGATCTTTTTTGCCTCCTAGAAAAGGGCTGGACCTGTTTTGTCTTCCCTAGAATCGGGGCTGGTCTTATGTCTTGCATTGATTTTCAGAATGCACTAGTAATGACAGCTCACCCTGTGGAGGCTTAGCAATTTCTGCCTTCTCCCTCTAGGAATCTTGAGTCCACCATGCTGTGATGAAACTGGGCATAAAAGACTACAGAATCAAAAATGTCCAGCCATCTTGCTCATCCTGGCTGAGGACTAGGCAAACAAGTGAGGCCCAGGGGACTAGAGACCTCCCACCCCTGGTCAACCCACTGACCAACTGTCAATGCAAGAACATTGAGCCTAGCCAGTGCTCCATAGAACAGATGAATCATCCAGCGGAACCCAGCTCAGCCCAAACTGCCAGACCAGAATTGTGAGCAAATCAGTTAGTTTCGCCACAACTTACAGAGCAATGGGTAAGTGACGTAGGTAGGACATTGAAGGACCTAAAAGAAAAGCCATGTGGCTGTAGCTCAGAAAGTGGACTCAGAGTAGGGATGTAAGAGGAAAGTATAAAGCAAAGTTAGAGTGGTGGACAGGATGCACACCAGACAAGGGCCTGCAGTCTATATTTAGGAAATTAGCCTTTGTTTTAAATGAGAAACCACTTAAGCTGGGTGTAGTGGCACATACCTGTAATCACAGCTCTCCTAGGAGGTTGAGGCAGGAGGACTACATCTTTGATCCCACCCTAAGTAACTTAGCAACTTAGTGAGACTTTGTCTCAAAAATAAAAATAGGGCCTAGGAATAAAGCTCATTGTGAAGGCCCTGGGTTCAATCCCTGGTACTAGGGGGAAAAAGGGTAGATAAAATAGACATTGAAAGGTTTGGATTTGAAAAAATCACTCTGAAGTGCAGAGAATGGATTGGCAGCAGGAAGGGGAGAGAGTAAGAGAGAGAAAACAGGAAAGTCTTGCCATTATGCAGAGGGGACAAGTCAGTAGCTTTGGCTCAGGAAGACAGAAGTAAGGCAAAGAGACAGGGAGGTGGACAGATCTAAGGGCTTTTTAATAAATGAAACCATCAGAAATGGACTGGATATAACTAGAAAGGAGGAGAGCAGTTAAGAATGATTCCTGTTTCTTGCTTGTGTAAACAGATACATAGAAACACTGTTCACTGGGCCACAATGCCCACCCAAACCTACCTGGGTCTCTGGGGTATGGAATGCAGGAGGCAGAAGACACTGTCTCAGATTATCACTGAAAATAGGTGGTGTATTCCCACTGCTAGGACCAAAAATTGATACCTCCAATTTAAAAAACAGGTGTACTTGACTCATGGTTTCAGTGGGTTCAGTCCATAGTTGGCTGTCTCCAAGGCAGAAATAGCATGGGGGAGGGGTGTGGAGGAGGAAAACTGCTTATCTCATGGCTTCCAGCGCAGGGGAATAGTGCCAGAGAGGAAGGGGTCAGGGACCAGATACAGTATTCAAAGTCACATCACCATGACCCACCTGTAAGTGTGCTTTATTAATCCCCCAACTGGCTCTCAGGCCAATTAAATTGACAATGCAGCTTAACTGTCACAAGCAAGGTATATTTCTTATGCTTTCTAGAAATGATATGCTGCAAGAAAAGGACACTATGATAGATGAACGTCAAGGAGTGAGATGAATTTCCATCACTCTAGAGAAGGTTTTCCAGGGCTTATTGGTTCAATTACATCTTCTGAGACATTTAATTCACACACTCAACTCATACTGTTCAATAAAAACTTCACTGATTCATTAGAGATTTGGAAATTGTGAAAAAGGTCATCAAATGAGTAAAAATTACCCAGGATGCTAAGCAGAAGGATCACAGATTCAAGGACAACCTGGTCTATCTTGTCTAAAACAAACAAACAAACAAACAAACAAAAAACCAAAAGAT